TAGATCCTTACCAGATATGATTTGCAAATATTTTTTCCTGTTCAGCAGGTTGTCTTCACACTTTCTTGACAGTGTCCTTTGAATTGCAAACATTTTTAATTTCGATGAAGTGCAATTCACCTCTTTCCTCTTTCGTTACTTGAGTTTTAGGTGCCCATTGCCTAATCCAAGACCAATGTTTTTAAACCAATGTTTTCTTCTTAGAGTTTGATAGTTTTTGCCATTACATTTTGATCCATTTTTAATTTCTTTATATGATGTGAGAGAGTGGTCCAAATTCATTCTTTGCATGTGGATATCCTGTTATCCAAGCACCATTTGTTGAAAAGACTAGTCTTTCTTCATTAAATTGCCTTGGCACCTGTGTTAGGCTGAACAATGGCCCCACAAAGATACCCACGTCCCAGTCTTTAGAACCTGTGAATGCTACCTTATATAGCAAAAGGGACTTTGAAGATATGGTAAATTATGGATTTTGCGTTAGGGAGATTATCCTGGATTATCCAGGCAGGTCAGAAATAATTAAAAGGACCCTAACAAGAGGATCACAATAGTTCAGCTATTGGAGAAGGTGATGTGAAAATGAAGCAGAGATTAGAGTGACATGGCCACGGATATGGGCAGCCTCTAGAAGTTAGAAGAGGCAAGAAATAGATTCTTCCCTGGAGCCTCCAGAAGGAAACAGTCTTGCCAACACATTGACTTGAGCCCTCTGAGACTTATTTTGGACTTTTCACCTCCAGAACTGTAAGAAAATATATTCATGTTGTTTAAGCTGCTAAATTTGTGATAATTTGTTACAGCAGCAATCGGAAACTAATACAGCACCCTTCTCAAAAATCAGTTGATCATAAATACATGGGTTTATTTCCAGGCTCTTAGTTCTACTCCATTGAGTTATGGGCCTATCCTTATGTCAGTCAGTCTTGATTAGTGTAGCTTTGTAGTTTCTCTTGCATACTTTGTGTGATTTCAATCCTTTTAAATTTATTGAGATTGTTGTATGTCCTAACACATGGTCTATCCTGGAGAATGCTCTATGTTCAGTTGAGAAGAATGTGTATTCTGCTGCTGTTGTATTGAGTATTCTGTACTTACATATCTACCTTTAGCTTTACCTTTAACTGGTGTTTTCTATTTTCTTCATGTAGATTTGAATTACTATCTAGTATCCTTTCATTTCAGCTTGAAGGATTTTCTTTAGTATTCAGTGTAAGTCCAGACACTGAGCAATAAATTTTCTGTTTTAGTTTATTTGGAAGTTTCTCAATTTCTCCTTGATTTACGAAGAGTGATTTTGCTGGATATAGAATTCCTGCTTGACAGTCTGTTTTTCAGCATTTCGATGTCTTCCTACTGCCTCTGGCCTCTATGGTTTCTAATGAGAAATCAGTTGTTAATTCTCATATTGATGATCATTTGTACATAATGAGTCCCTTCTCTTTTGCTCCTTTCAAGATTGTCTCTTCGTGTTTGGTTTTGGCAGTTATTATGATGTGCCTAGGTGTAGATATCTCTGAATTTATCTTAGAGTTTGCTGACCTTTTGAATGTGTAATGTTTTTCATCAAATTTGGGAAGTTTTTGGTCCTTATCTTTCAAATGTTCTTTTTGCTCCTTTCTGTCTCTCCTCTTTTTTCTGGGACTCCCATTAAATGTACGTTTGTATGCTGCATAGTGCCCCATCGATTTCTGAAGCTTTACTCATTTTTCTTCAATCTTTAATCTTTCTGTTTCTCAAACTAGATATTCAAAATTGGCATATCTTCCAGTTCACGAATTCTTTCTTTTCTACCTGTCCAAATCTGCTAAGGCCCTCTAGTGAATTTTTCATTTCAATTTTTGTACTGTTTACCTCCAGAATATCTATTTTCTCTCTCTTTTAATTTCTATTTGGTTACTGATAAACTGTATTTGGTTTGACAACATTTTCATAGTTTAGTTTTTTACACATGATTTCCTTTCATTTTCTGGACATATTTTAAATAGCTGATTCAAAATCTTTGTCAAGTTAAGTCCAACATCTCAGCTTCCTCAAAGAGTTTCTATTGACTGCTTCCTGTGTACAGGCCATTCTTTGTGTTTCTTTGCTCGTCTTAAAATTTTTTGTTGAAAACTAGATGTTAAAAATAATAGAATATGGGAACTCTAGAAACCAGTGTTTGTTGTTGCTGTCACTTGTTATTGTTGGCTGTGTGGTTAGCTACTTTTTTGAACTAATTCTGTGACATATATGTGTTTGTCATGTCTAATGATGTCTTTAATGATTTGGCAGAGATACTCTCTAATGCCTGGAATACATAAGCTTACCAATCTTCGCTAAGGGGCTCTATTTGCACATTGGGGCACACATTCAATGTTTAGCCTGGCAATTTACAACTCTGCTTTTGTCTTCATTTTTTGCTTGCAGAAAACTTCGAGGTTAGCCTGGGGTGGACTTGTTGGGGCTCTTCTGAGTATGTGAATAGTCCTGTGCATGTCCACAGTCCTACACATGTGAATGTTCTTTTAATTTCCATAAATTTCTCAGTTTTTAAAATCCCCTTTAGAAATCTCATACTCTAGCTTTTCCTTTTAGGTTTTTCCTTTTTTAAGTTTTTTGTTATCCTATTATTTATTCCAGCTCTTATCTACAATCTCCAGTAGTCACAATTGCCTCTGATTGTTTCAGACTCATATCTCCAGGGAAAAAAGCTATTCATATTGGGCCAGCTCTGTGTCAGGCCAAAGATAGCCTTGTGAGTGGGGTCTTCCAGGTGACTACCAGACAGGTCAAATAATGCCAATTCTTCAAGAATAGGTCATTGAAAGACCTGCAACTCTGTTCAGCCGTCTTCAGTGGCTTCCATACTGCTGTTTTTTTGTTGGTTTAGTTTGTTTCATTTTTGTTTTTACTTTTGTTTTTATTTTACCAAACTTGTGAGCAGCTTCTTTCCAGGCTACTCTGGAGCTTGAGTTAGGGACATAAAAACAGGGCAAGTTAAAAAGCAACAAAGCTCTCTGTTCTTACTGAGATTCAGCCATTTTTCCTGAATAAATACTCCCTATATTGCTTCAAGCCTTTGATTAATTTCCAGCATTCAGCTGGCCAGTTAGCTCACTTGAGAGAGTGTGGTGCTGGTAACACCAACGTCGCGGGTTGGATCCCCAAAACAGAGAGTCACCAAACCAGAAAAAAAAAAAAAAATTCCAGCATTCTAGGAACTTGATTTTGATAAGTATTGTCAGTGTCCTTGTTGCTTTTATGCAGGGAAGAATTTTAGGAGATCTTTTCTCCACTATTTTCACTGACATTTCCTATTTCTTTAAATCATCAAGTTTTATTGAATCACAGCTTTGCTTGTTCATGTATGTATTGTCTACAAATGCTTTTGTGCTACTGTAGCAGTTTAGTAGTTGTGACAAGACCTTATTGCCTGTAAGGTTGTATCTGCTGACCCCTTTTCTGTATTTCACAGTCCACTTTACACAGAACATTATAAACTATAGTAAACTTTTCATATTTTAACTTTTATATTGTTATCAAGTTTTGGAGGAAAACTCCAAATGTGATCTTTTTTTCTGTAAAGTTAAATAAAAAAAGATATACTAATCAGTAGGATAAATAATTGGTTATTCAGAAAGAAATATGTCATAAATTCAGAAGAAAATGTCCGCCATCTTCCGCCTATAAAAACGGAATGACTTTAAGTCAACACAATGAAACATTTTGGGTAATAAGCTGAAACAATCCACTGAGTTGCATGTTTCATGCAGCATAGTATATAGCCTTTCTAGCAAAGAGTCATTATTCCTAGTCAGAGAAAAAAATTTACATGGGAATCTAAGTATTCATCTTGAAAAATCATTATAACAATCTTGGAAGTTAAACATGACAATGTGAAATGAATATTTAATTTTAGCAAATTAATCCTCTATATAAGCTGTTTGTACATGCTAGAGCATGAAATGGAAGCCAAACCCAAGAATATCATGCCATGATTTTACACACCATATGACCAGAAAAAGCCAACTTATGCATTTAGATGAAGCTTGGACAGAAATAGAAGGTATGACATCACAAAATTCTTGGATCTGAAAGTCGGCTACCTAGCTGCCAATTAGCAGAAGGCAAAGTAGACCTGGAATTGTACATCTTACACCCTCCCCAGTACCTGGAATCAAAACTACCTAGCCATTTTATCTTCCTCTCTTATTCCTTATAAAACCCTGCACATGAAAAAAAATCTGATTCTCCTGTGACTGACAAACTCACTTAGCTGTACTTAGTTTTCAGCCCCTAAAACATCATAAACATCACTCCAATCTACCACACATACAGTTTCTGAAAACATTACTGATGTTTTATTCATTATATGACCAACAATATTTCAGACAAGAATTGGGGTGGACATAAATAGCATGTGGATTTATTAAAACTACAAATGTAAAGAGATTTATATGACATATTGATATAATCTTGAAAGTAGATTAATGCTTTTAAGAAATGAGAGAGAGAGAGAGAAAGTATCAATTTTCTGATTGCTATTTTCTAAGATATTGGTGATCCTAGAATCACCATCTGGACAGAAACCTATGTATGGAATTCTCAATGCTGTTTGGAGCTATGTTGACTGTACACAATGCCATCTAATACCTTCTGAAAGTACAGAGCAGATTGATATCAGAAATCTTTCAGAGCCTGATATATTCTGCTGATTCTGAGATCTCAGAGCATTGTTTTCCTCCTATCATAAAATAAGCCAGGCATGGCAAATTTAAGCAGATATAAATCAAGTTTCTGAGTTTCTAAAATTGTCATTTTGCTGAAGTAAAGGAATTTATTCAATAGCAACATAGAAAAAACTGACTCTCCTATGGGGGGAGTTTTTTCTTGAATGTGTGAACAATGTTTTGATCAAGATTTACAAAGAGAAAAAAAGCTGACTTGTGAAGGAAAACATCAAAGCTTCTTTTCACTAAATTAAAACAGTAAAGATCAAAACAGATTGCAACACCAACCTGAGCCTTTGTAGAAGTCCGTGTTAGCAGTGCATGATAAGCAAAAGGGAAAGAAAATTATATATGCATTAGTTGAGCTGCTATTATAATGCAAAACTAAAAAAAAGGTAGAAATACTTTCCCCTGGTATTCAAATTAATGGCTACATTTCAGCTAGAATTTGGATGTTCCCTCCCAGTTCTCAAGCAAAATACCCTCTTTAAGTGGATACCAAACATGTGCTTGTGTGGGAATAGAGAACACATACATCTGAGAAGGTTGAACAGATTTTTCTCTTGCTGTCCTCCAGATAGAAAAGCTGACTCTTAAGATCAAGGGCTTATGGAAACAAATATCTGAAGCTTAACTTAAACTCCCTAAGAAGTATCATAGTCACAGATTACTACTCAGAGCAAAAGACATAAGGATTGTTATTTTTTAAGGATACAGCACATATAGACCAGACTAACTCTTAGAAAGTAGATTTCATGACACTTGATCCTACTGGCCCCGCCTCCCTTATGTATCTTTCTTTCCTTTTTAACTTTACCACAACTTTATTTCTGAACTTACCTAAGGGATAGTTTAATTATTGTCATATTTAAAACTAGAGTGTATGCTCCCTGAGGGTAGGCATCATTTTTATTTTCATCATTATATTCTCAATACTTAACCTAGTGCTTAGTAGAGAGTAGATATCTGAAAAATATTTGTAGAAAGATGAATGAATGAATGAATATAGTCCCAAGGTAACATAGATTACAAATATTTAGAAACATGTGAAAAATTATAATCCAAATCCAAAATCCATTTTCAATTTGATTTCAAGTTTTATTCTTTTACCTCATAGATCAGAAATTTTAATTAACAGAGTAATGGTTCCAAAGAAATTAAGTTGGGTAGCTCAATTAAACATCCATATACCTGGCATCTTGGAAATTCTAACCATATGTGAATCAACCTATCATGATTATAATCTATAAACAATGTTTGCTTGCAACCAGAAGTCATTGGGCCTATAGGGTTTCGCAAGCTAAGCAGGTAGCCAGACGTATTATCACTATTTCAAAAATATTATTAACATCGATCATTTGCCAGTTATAAATTATTTAGTTAATCCAAAAAAGAATACCTTTGGCTTTAGATAGAAGCATAAAAGCATTAAAAATGCTTAATGATGAGAAACTCATGAAAATTCTCAACATTACAGGAATGAATGTCTGCTTCATGACATCTGGTAGACATAATTAACTCAAAGTTAAGTGATCAATGAACAGTGAACAATGTTCACATGGATTATTTTATTGCACTTTAGTATTGCATCTATGGAAATAATTCATCTGCCTTCTTAATATTACTACCAAATTGTGATCGTGACTGTCCATGGACTGGAATTTAGATCAATGATGATGAAAGCTTGTGTGTATCACCTTCTTCACTCCTGTTTTTGTTTAAATAACCCATGTTTTTTGGCCTATCCAGACATTAGGGTTAGTAGGGTTCTAGGAACTGCTCCACAGCTAAAGGCTTGCTAGAACTATTTGAGCTCAGTTTATTGCATTGCTGTAGGAAACTTGTGTCAGGTAAATAACAAATGTATCATTAATATTAAAGAACAAAAATTCTCTCACTGAACAATAATGGGTAATTTCTTTGATATGAATGGTAAGTTTCTAGGGTGCATTAAATAAAAGCATTCAAAAGCACCTCTATGTCATTCCTCTGGACACATACTAAAGAAGTTTTCCAAAGCACTGATAATCATATTAGATATGGAATTTGAATGTACTACAAAAACTAAGTTGTTCTCCTGAAATTACATACAGTACTTTTCCTTTCTGTCTTCTTAAAAATCTTAGCATTATAATTTTTAATCTCTGGTTAAAATGTATAATTTCTGGATAAGATTAGTCCTGTATTGTTCTTGCTCAAAATTCTTTCAGATATTTCAACCATTTTTACCTCTACATACAGCCTCAACCTTTCTCCTTGGCTTTAGTTGAACTGCTTTTGGCTATTTCTGCTTTCAAACACCACTGTTATATCATTTACTGTGCCTAAACAGTATCTGTTTGATTTTCCTGCTGGGCCAGCTCTATCTTCACATATCTAAATAGTATTCTTTCTTTAAAGCTCCGTTCAGATCCTACTCTCTCTCACCCTAAAGTTTCCCAAATCTGTGCTTCCACAGCCCCCTGAACTCCTGAGACTCAACAGACAGTGCCACAGATTTGACTTTTTATACACATGTTCTGTCTCTCTAGACATAGTCCGGGTCTGTTTTGAGACTAGGATCCATAGCACATACTTCATCAGACAAGCTCAGACCAACTCACTCTCCTCCTCTAAGCAATGCAGGGGCTCCTGCCCTGCTCCGCGTCATAGCTGCAGTTCTTCTATTCACAGCCCAGTGCACCTTAAATGACCCAATTCCTTCCTGTTTCTCTGAAATTATCTCCAACACTCACTCTCCTTGTACCTCATCCACGCCAGCCACACCACTCACCTGACTGTTTCTCAGCCATGATTAGCAAGTGCCTACCTCCAGGGCTGTTCCTTCACCTAGAATATTCTTTCTTCAAGCCGCCAACCGCGACATCCCCTTTACATCCTTCTTTGCTATGCTCTGATGTCCCCATCTCAGAGAAGTCTTCCCTGATCATTCCATCCTCTTGCCCTGCTTTATTTTCTTCACATTATGCATCATTATCTGCAACTATTCATTTATGTTTTTGCTTCTTTGCAATCTAGTTACTTTACTAGTATATAACCTTCATTGGAGCAAAGCTTTTGAATGTTTTGTTTGTAGCTGAATCCTAGTAAATGGCACATAGGAAGTATTAAATCATTGTTTATTCCATTAATAATTACCTCTTTATATGTTAGGCACCTGTCTGAAAGTATTAAGCAAAGACTGTGAATATTGACAACTAAAGAGTAAGAAAATTTGGTAAAAAGATACTTTGAAGCTATATTACATTACATGGAGACTATGCAGTGATTACACTTAAAGAAATAGGGATAGGTGTTTGAATCCATTTACACGCAATCCAATTTATTCTCTACCTGAAATTAAATATCACTGACAAGTTAATATAAATTGTAATTAAGGCAGCTCACTAGGAGATATGAATATTTCCTTTTTCTTCATGTTTGTTCCAGCACATATCTCCTCTGCACTTCCACAAATAATGAATTTTCAGCTAAGTATATTGAATGTGTAGAAATGGTATAGACTTAGACAAATAACAAATACTTATCTAGGGAAATGTTTATCCAATAATGTTAACTATGAGTAAAAATGGACAGGTTTATTATCAAGTTTCACATTTCAAATTTTTTTTTTCCATAGTATTATCTGTGTTGACAACTTTTTATAGCACCAAACACCATAAAATTAAATAAGTGCTTAAAAATATTTGAAATCTGCCTTAGAAAAAAATGAAGGAAAAAAAGATTTTTATGAATAGATAACTAAACAAATCAAATTTCAGTTCTAAGAAGATATATGAATTGAATATGTCTATTTCTTCCTTGTGAAATTTTATAATTAAACAAAGGTATGCCATATGTAGTAATTCTAACTATTTTAATATGAGATCACTTAAAAGGATATGTTATTATATGGCTTTTATATGAAAGTTGTTTGATATGATCATAAGAAATATGCTTTTTAGCTTCTTATTTTAGAATCTCATTAAGGAATGCTAATGATACATTTATTACTTATAGATCCAGGTATTTGTTTCAACATATCTTAAAATTGGGGGAAAAGAAAACTCATATTGGTAGTATATAGTATATATTTTAATATGAGGTGCATAAAACTTCCCCATAAATTAAGCATTTATTATTTATTAAGTGCATGAAAGTAAGAATGAACTAGTTATTGCATATACTTTACAATTAAAGACATATAGAAAAGTTAAATAACACAACCACAACTCAAACACACTTCCTCTTCTTTGAGGCACCTGTATCTTGCTCTCTCCCCAGAGACCAGAGAGGAAAAAAAAATAAAACAATGTCCAGGAATGTCATCAATAATATTTTTCTGAGTGCAACTTCTAGTTGGTCATAAAATTCTATTCTATGCTCACAATAACCTAAAAGGAATTGCTATACACCATTTAACAGCCACCAACAATTCTAAAAATAGATGCACTGCTGTTAGAACCCTGGTTTTCAGTAATCCTCATAAATCCTTCATAAATAGATAAGAAGACAGAAAAAGAGACGACTGTTTCTATTTGATGGTACTGAAAATAAAAATGGAGGAATAAACCTGGATCAAAGGTAAAAGAGGAAACGGAAGGATTAGGAAAATAATCAGTGTTTCAAACACTATGAAAAATCAAAATTGGAACAAAACAAGCTCCTTTCCCAACACCATTAACAGTGTGTATGTATGTATGTGTGTGTGTACACACACATGGACAGAGTTATTTAATATGTACTTTTCTTTTAAGGTATTAGAATACACAAGAGTGATATTGGAGAGAGAAAGCTCGTAAGAATATACCTGCCAAATTAAGTGTTTAGTCAAAGTTTTTATTGTGCTTCCATGTATTAAGAGAGAGCATCAATCAAGTGGGCAAACAAAACAACATTACCAAAAGCAAATTGCTGGTTCTAAGAGTCTCTTTAATGATATATAACTTGCTGAAAACTCAATAACCTAGAAAGCCCAGTCAGTGGTAGCCCAGGCTAAGGACTCATGTGCTATGACTACATTAAGGGAAACATAGTAATCTACTTAGGAAATCATTACTTTCTTCTTTTGCAGAGAGCTATTTACATAACATTTATAATACACTGCTTTTGCATATCATTGGACTAGGTCACTAAACAAAGCCTTTGTAAAAATGGGACATCTAAAACAAACAAGCAGAAACAAAAACAACGACAATGAACATTCCAACTGCTGCTTTGCTTAATATAAGAATGGTTGAATCTTTTTTTTTTTTTTATAAGTAGGGTATTGAGATGAAGGAGGAGTAATGGAGTTTTAGGATTTAGGTAAGTCT